TGGCCCAAACCGGCTCGACGCACGGTCGCTGCGGCGCGTTTGCCGCCCCCGGGGCTGAAGCTGAGCGCGGTCCGCCCCCACCCCGACAAACATTCGCGCTCGGCCTGGTCGACGAGATCCATGGCGCTCACAGGGGCCGACGACGCATCAGGCCAGGACACCAGGTCCTTGTCGCAGGGCTTGACGCGCTGGGAGCCAGCGGAGAACCCAGGCGCCGAAGCGAGCAGCTCTGCCAGGGCTGCTTCGCCAGAACGAAAATCCTCGCGATAATCAGGAGGACGCTGGAAACGCTTGAACTGGGCGATGTGAGTCATCGCGCTCTCCTTGGCCGCGGACGCCGTCAGGCCTGGCGGGGGAGCAGGCGATGACGCGCGGCCGCTCAGCTGGTTCAAGGCATCAATCCCGTCGTTAGCCCATCGCCCCCAAGCAGCTCCGCGCAGCGCCCGCTGCCGACCGCGACGACTATGACAAGCCTCCGCCCGCGCGCCCACCGCCAGGCCAGGCAAGTGGAAGATGTCGCGCTGACGGACTCCAAGCTCCATGTCAAAACTGATGGCCGTCGAAACTGCCGCGACATTGCAGGGGCTCGCCCAGGCAACGCCGAAGCGCCTGCACCTCCCTGGGAGAAGCTTCCGAGGGCCTCTGCGCGCGCCGCCCGCTGGCTTTGCGCCGTTCCTTGGCCACTGCAGCCTCCGCCTTCAGCTGCTCCGCGATGAACTCCGTCAGAGCAGGAGAGATGCACGAGTTCCCCTTGCTCGACGACGTACCCATGTAATGGTCGGCCTCTGCGGACAACAGCGCGTCGCTGGCAATGGCGGCCTTCGCCTTGTCCTTCTTCTTTTCGGCCGCCACCTGCGCCGACACCAACTCCTCGTAGTGCCTCTCCTCGATGAGATAGGTCTGGCGACTGACCAGCTCGAATGCCGCCAACTCGAACGCGCTGAGCTGGTCGTAGCAGCAGGCCATCTCCAGCAGGCGGCAATTCATCTCGTGCTGCTGGCAGATCGCATCCGAATCCCGCAGTCGAGCCTCTGCCTTCCACTTCGACTGCCACGCGAGGGGGCCGCCAGCATTCCTCCGCATGTGATCAAGGCACCACTGGATAGTCCGAGGGCCGTTGATCGCCCAGTCATCCATCGGCGTCGCGGTGGCCTCCCTCGCGGCGATCACGAAGTCCAGCTGGCGACGGCCCGCGCTGTCGGTCGCGATGGCGCGGGCCCTCCTGTCGACGATGGCGGGCGGAGCCCCCCCCCCAGTGGGGCAGCCGCAGCAGCGACGGGGCCTCCGCCTCCTCCCAGCGGAACCGCCGCGGGGCCCCCCGCCGCGGGCAGCGGCACGCTGAGCGCAGCAGCCAGTGCGCCCGCGCCCGCGAGCCCCCGCGCCCGCGGCAGCAGCCCCCGCGCCCGCCCCGCCCGCACCAGCGTCACCCAGGGCGGCCCCGCCCGAGGGCACCACGGCGGCGGCGGCAGCGGCGGGGTTGTCCAGCCGCACTGCCCGCGGTACCCAGGCGGCGCCCGGCCCGACCCCGCCCGCCAGGACAAACGGCGAAGGCGGCAAGGCGGCGCCCACCAGCAGCCCAGCCGTGCGAAGATGACCCCACATGTCGGCCGCCGACGGCGCAGCCCTGAACCGGTACACGCTCGCCTCCGCCACGCCGTAGGAGAGGAGTGCCGAGCCCGCGCATGAGCCTGATCTCCTCGCAATCGGCGTCCACAGCCACAGTCTCCACATGTACATCACCATCCACTGTCAGGATAGCAGCCTCGGAGGGCGGCACGTCGAATAGCGTCACACGCTCGTGATACACTGCAGAACCTCCGAATCGATGTCGAATGGCATGAACATCACCTGGTTGCGGCATTCTGAATGGCAGTCTTTGCCAGTCGCGAAGCGATCAGACAAAGCTCCCCCGCCGAACTTAGAGGCTCAGGCGAAGACGCCTGCGCCAATCTGTCCCGTCGTCGGCACAACAACACACGCGTCAAAGACCTCAAGCTCCATATTCCTGGCACCACAACTGATCCCAGAAGCAGGCCGAAGATGAATACCACGGAGTGACTGCACCACGCGCTGATCAGACACAGGACACGTTGTACGTGGGCGAGCACTCACAAGCACACGGAGGGCAAGCAGGAGTGGCCGCCGAAATGGCTGACCAAACTACCAGGGCCTGTGAGGCGCCACGCGAGAGGTCCGAAAGGAATCGCGAGACGGCACCGTGCATTCCCCTCAAAAGCTTGAGCACAGACGGTAGCGGTCGTGCGGCCACTCTTCCCCTTCCCCGGCACATTCCACACTAAAAATGTTGCTATGATGATGGTGACGATGATAATGACGATGATGATGATGATGACGATGATGATGCTGATGATGCTGATGCTGACGATGATGATGATGATGTTCATGATGATCATGCTGTCGATGATGATGATGATGGTGATGATGATGGTGATGATGATGATGGTGATGATGGTGAAGATGATGATGATGATGATTTTTCCTCGACGTCAGGACCACCATCTGATATCAGGATATGGTGTACAATGAAACCAGATTTAAAGTGATCCGTCGCAGAGAGCCGACTGTCTCGCGTCGCCCCGCTTGGGCCCGACTGCCAGGGTGCTGCTCGGAGGGGCCTCCTGCGCTGCGCGTGCCAAGCAGCGTCGCAATGCTAGCTGAGATATTCGGCCGCCTCTTCTTCGGCGGTTGCATCATGCTCAGGTGCCCCCCCCCCCCCCTCACACTGCCCCTCTGGATGCGCCGGCACGGCCGGGGGGGGGGGGGGGGGGGGGGGGGCGCGCGACGGAGGAGGGAGGGCATGTGGCCGCCCGTGACCGTGCCGCTGCTGGCAGGGAGGTCATTGCTTCGAACGAAATTGAAGCGGCGTTGAATCGCCTCCTCTCCGCTGTGGCCTGCGCTGTGGCCTGCAGGCTCGCTCTGGCAGAAAAAGACGGGTTCACTGCTCGAGCGTCTCTAGCCTCCTCCTCGAGCCAGCCCACTGGGCCCACGTCTCGGCGGCGGACCGCCTGGCCTTCGGCCTCGAGGGCGCGGCTGATCAGGATTTGGCCCTCCCACATGGGCGCGCCTAGCGCGCCGATCACCAGCTTCGTCTTGTCGTGTCGTAGCACTTTTCCAGGCGCACGAAGTTGATGGCGTCGAGGATATCTTCCTTGCTGATCTCCGTCTCCGCCTCGATGTCCTCGATGGCACCCTTCATGGAGCCGCCCACGTCGCACTTGTACAGTCCTTCTAGGGCCGTCAGCGCGCGGGACGGAGCTGGCGACCCTATCCCCCGCAGGCATTTCTTGTCCTCTGGGGGGGCCGCTCTTCCTGAGGGGGTCCATAATGTGCTCGTAGCTTTCGCGCTCCTGCGCGATGGCATCTACCTGATTGCCACGCTCGTCGTACATGTCTAACGGCATGATCTTGATGTTCCGTTCGGCCTTCTTCGTGGCCCCGTGAATGCCCAGTGAGGCCAGGGTGTCCTGCTTACCGATGTTCTGTGCGTGTTGAGTTCCATTATGTATGAGTTCTATCCTCAGATACACTCGCCATATATGGTCGAAACAGTGAGATAAACGCACGCATGCATGAATGTCCTGAATCACGTTGCCAGTGGGGCTTTTTACTTGTTTGCCGATGTCGAAAGTCTGGATGATGGTGGACCTGACGTCGTGATCGATCTCGGGCTTCCGTCGACTGGGGTGATAGACACGCTCAGCGAGCGGGCCCGCGCATTGATAATCTGCAGTGTCATGTCCCATTCCTGCCTTTTGAACACCAGTGCGCATCGGGTGCTGTAGGGCGAGGAGCATGATGGTGAGTTCGATGGGCCTTGAAGAGAAGTGGGTGGGTCGTCGGACTGGAAATTGAAGATCAGGGCGCTCGTCACCAGGGTCACGTTCACGTCGACCTTTAAATCCAGGTGGCAACTCAAGTCCAGCGTGCAGTTGTTCCACTGGTGGCGGTTCAGGTGCACCGTGGTGTAGTCCTGCACGTACTGGCCCTCTGTGTCCGTGAAGGCGTTGAAATTGAAGTTCATCGTCCAGTCGTCCAGGGTCAGCGTGTCGTACTCCTGCATGTGCTGGCCCTCTACGTCCGTGAAAAAATTGGAATTGACGCTCAGCGTCCAGTAGTCCTTCGCGAGCTGGGCGTGTAGGTAGTGGTCCAGCGTCCAGTAGTTCGGGGTCAGCGTGTCGTAGTCCTTCATGTGCTGGCCCTCTGTGTTCATGGAGATGTAGCTCAGCGTCCAATCCCGCACGTACTGGCCATCTGTGTTCGTGAAGATGTTGAAATTGACGTTCAGCGTCCAGTCGTTCAGGGTCCGCGCGTCGTAATCCTGCATGTGCTGGCCCTGTATGTTCGTGATGATGTTGGGATTGATGCTCAGCGTCCAGTAGTCCTTCGCAGTGTGGGTGTGGGGGTAGTAGTCCAAGTGGCAAGTCACGTTCAGCGTGCAATTGTTCCACTGGTGGCAACTCATGGGCCGCATGGTGTGGTCCTGCCTGTGCTGGCCCTCTGTATTCGTGAGAATGTTGTTGTTGAAGCTCAGCGTCCAGTGGTTCAGGGTCAGCGTGTCGTAATACTTCAGCATCGGCATCGTCGTCTGGCTGGTGGTCAGGTGCTTGGGCCATGCGCTCGTCCATGTTCCTGATGTCAGCGAGCGAGTCCTGTGCTTAGCAGGTGCGCGGCGCCCGCGCTCCGGAGCACGTCCATGGCGGCATGGCGGTGTGCGGGGTATCGTCAAGAGGCCCCCTGCCTTTCGGGCAGGGCGAGGGGGCGGTGACTGGAGGCCGCTGCTCCATCAATGGCCTGAGCGCGCGGCGGCCTTTGATGATGACGATGATGATGATGATGATGATGATGATGATAATAATGATGATGATGATGATGATGATGATGACGATGATGATGATGATGATGGTGATGGCATCTCACCACCTGATCTTGGGGTTCCCAAGGAGCCGGAGCCGCGCCGCCCCCCCCCTGGGAGAGGCTGCCTCCCGCCGAGGGCCGCACCCAGACCCTGCTCGGCAAACGTGGTGTCCGCAAGGACCGCCTCCCGGAAGCCCCCCGCGGAGAAGAGCACCTTGCCAGGGGGGAGGGGGAGGAGGAAGAGGAGGAGGAGGAGGAGGAGGAGGAGGAGTGAGGGGGAGAGAGGAGGAGAGGAAGGAGGAGGAGGAGGAGGAGAAAGGGAGAGAGGAGGAAGAGGATAAAGGAGGAGGAGGGGAGGAGAAGAGGAGGTGGAGGAGGGGGAGGAGGAGGAGGAGGAGAGGAGGAGAGGAGGAGGGAGGAGGAGGAGGAGGAGGAGGAGGGGAGGAAAGGAGGAGCTGAGGAGGTGCAGGAGCAGGAGGAGGAGGAGGCTGAGGAGCAGGAGGAGGAGGAGGAAGAGGCTGAGGAGGAGGAGGCGAAAACAAAGGAGGAGAAAACAGAGGAGGAGGAGGAGGAGGAGGAGGAGGAGGCGAACAAAACAGACAAGAACAGACCGACCCTGGGGCGTCTGTGTCGATGTCGAACAGCATCTACCCCAAAAAGTTGGCACCTGAGTGGCCTCAGAAGGCAGCTTCGCTCAGCTCCCCGCCTCCGCTGGCACTGGGACGCACACAGACACATACTAATACTACACGTCCTCCCTGGAGGCGCACGTCCGACCCGAACAGATCGTATACCCATCTTGTAGCATATCGTTTCCCGAGCGGTGTGGCCAGGAAGCGCCCGCCACGATGCATATACCATAAGACTTCTCGGTGCGCGCGTCGCCCCTGGGGGGGCGGCGCACACATAGTATTAGTATGTTGGGGTGATGCCGGTCCAATAGAAATCAAACAATCCACCCCCAGAATCACCAACTCGACACGCGAAGTCGTTTAGTAGACGCGCCCAAAGAAGGAATCGAACAGGGCAGGGCTGTTTAGTAAACGCCAAGGGCCGTTTAGTAACCGCCGATTGTCCGGTCCGGGTGGTTTTTCCTCCCGTGACTCAAGGCTCCCAACAAATATGACCCTCGAGGTTTTGCGTTGGCCTTCCTCTTCGGAACCCTACGCCCCTGGGCAACAAGTCTGCGCGCGGCCCCCTCGAGACCTTCAACAAGGGCCTGGCTCCCCGAGGAGGGTCCCATGGGCACGTGGGGGGGAGGCCCGGGAGCAGAGGAGGAGGCAGCAGCAGCAGCTTCAACGAGGACGAAGGAGGAGAGAGGACCCCCCTAGGCCCTAGCCGAAGGGTCCCTACAGTCATCGGCCTGACCTAACGAACGATGCATATGGAACCAAGCCCCTTGCCTTGAACGCATAAGGAGCGATAGATAATGCATAACGCATCGGGAACGAGAAATAACGCAGGCAAGCCTGCGGAACGACCGAGCCCCTTTTGAAAAGCAAGTTTCTTCGCACTCACGCCGCTCGCTGTGAGCCGAACCGATCCTGCGAGCACGGGGGCACGCGAGACCCCTGACGCCACCTGGGCCACGGCGCGGGCACGTGCAGTGTAGCCTGGGCTCCGCGCTCAAAGGCGCCCAGCCCCTCCCCCTCCCCGCCCACCGTCCGAGCCCCCCCCCCCCACTTCCGCCGCTCTGCGCGGCACGTCTGCCCCACACACTGCTTGGAGACCCTCCCCGGCAACTGGGCCGCGCCCCTCTCCGAGGCCCCCCCAGAGGGGCCGCACCGGCCTTCTCCTCTCCGCCCTCCGCCGCCAGATGTCGAGTCGGGGCCCGCTCGAGCTGCAAGAGCTTCGCGTCGACCGCGCACGCGAAACGACACTTCTCCGGCTTCGACTCCTGCCTGCGAGCCCCTCGGACACGCCGTGCCCGGACCTCCCGCGCAAGGGCTCGAGCGAGCGGCGCGGCCGAGAACGACGGCATTCCAGTGCTGCTCGAGACACCGCTTGCAGTCCTCGGGGCACGCTGGATCCGCCGCGGCCGCACGGATGAGTGCCGCCTGCTCCTGTAGGAACGGCGGCCTTAGATTCTCCGTCGACTCGTCCGCCTCTTTGCGGCGCTGCGCCCCGTCGCGATGCGCAGCGCCTGCCTTCGTGGCCGCGGCCGCAGCCACCTGCTCAGGGAATGAAGAAGCGCACGGAAGACTACGCCGCAGATGCCCCATCAGCTCGGTCGCATTCGTGAGCGAGAGCTCCGTTAGACGAATCACGAATCACGAGCCGACGAAGAACGCCCCCTCCCCCCTTGCCCTGTGCCGCCCGCTGCGCCTGCTCCACCGCACCCCCCTGTTTCGCCCCACGCCCCCCCCTGGGCTCCTGCAGCTGCCGGCGGGGCGAGTATCCGAGCGGGGCGCCTGTCCGCGGCTGCCGTGGAGACGGAGCCAGGGCGGACGTGGCTAAGGGCAAGGATCAGGGTGAGCACGCAAGTGGGCGTGGACCTGCAAAGCCTCGAAGCTGCTACCACGGAAAGCCCATAGCGGACATCGATACGAACTGGGCCCCGCGGCCTCAGATCCGCCATCGCGCAGCGGCGGGCCGTGCGGGCCGAGGAGGCCCAGCTGCCCTTGGGCCCCAAGTGCAGGGCATGGATCTCGCACGTGGACTTCATCACCCACCTCTTCCTCATCCCCCCTTCTCTCCTCCCAGTCCTTCGTACTGTGCTTCTCCTACTGTCGATGGATCTGTTCCGCGCGAGGCATCCGCAAACGAGCGTCCGGTATCCTCATCGCGGTCGCGGCCCGAGGGCTCGGCCCGCGAGGCCGTGGATACGGGAATGTTCCCCGCCTACGAGTCGCCGAGCCCCTCAGAACACCTCCCGCGGGCGCAAGTGGTGACGCTGCCGGGCCCCTCCCTCCCCCGGAACGGCCGTCATCGCCAGGGAACGAACAGAAGCTGGCTCTTGTGGGCGCGCAGCAGAAGCCATCAGGGGGGGGCTTGAGCAGGGACCGACCATCCCCGCATTCCTATAGGCCTACCACGACATGTTCTTAGAACCTAAAGTGTTGCTTAACAACAAGCACAATATTCTTAGAACATAAACCTGATGTGCTAAAACAGGACAGTCTCAGACACACACACGTTCTAAGCACATCTCGTGCAGACCACAAAAGGTCTCTCGAACAACTTCCGGCGCCGCCTGTGCGCTCCAGCGCAGATCCAAGAAATCCGCGCGGAGCGCCACAAGTTTCTGATTCGGCGGTGAAGAAACCTTCCTTCAGCAAACCACCCGTTAGTGAAAACGGCCTAGGACCGAAACAGACGGACTTGGACCCGCAACAATGACAGCCGCGACGCCCTCTCGCGAACCGAAAGCGACCAATTCGCTAATCGACGTGTCAGGGTAGAAGGTCGATCAACCTCCGAATGATTATGGCGTTTGTTCTTCTTCGATTCGCAGGCCCTCGCCGATCTTCCACACACACACACACCCCGGCCCCCGCTGGCATGACGTCGCTCGCAGACTTCGCGCCACGGGCTCCTCGAGACTGCCGGGATTCTGCGGGGGCCTGGGAGGCTCCAAGCAGCAGTCGTAAGTCGGGCATGTCCCCCTACAGGCGGATGTTGGACGAAACATAAAAAAATAGTCAACGAAATACTCACAAATTGGGAAACGTGGTTCAAAAGTCGTCCCCAGACTGCTCTTGTACTATTCTTACACATTCCTTCTGTAGAGGGACAGGCCCGACTTAACAGCCGTCCCCGCGCGGCACCTGCGCCAGGGAGTTCGTCGCGCACAGGTTCTCCCCGGGGTTGTCCAAGCCTGAGGGTGGGGGTCGAGCTGTTCCTCGTTCTTCAGCCTGCTAGGCTTCTCCTGCTCCTGCTCCTGCTCCGCTCTCCTCCTCGTGTGCCGCTGTCTCCTCCTCCTCGTCCTCCTCCTCCTTCTCCTCCCTCGTCCTCCTCCTCCTCAGCCATTTCCCGCCCGAGCCGCCCTGGCCTGCGGGGGCGCGCGCGGATGGTGCAACCGCCAACTTCGAAGTGGCGTTGCGGTTGCGAGTCACCCTGTCGACGTCAAAAGGTCGGCATCAAAAGAGGTGGGTGCCCAACGTCATCAGCTACAATGCGGTGACGGGCATGCGCCGTGCCAGGTGCGGAGTCCGCCTCCCTCGCCCCCTCGCCTTCCCCCTCCCCCTTCTTTTCCTCCACCTACTGGCGAGCAATAGCGCCCGCCAGCCGCAGCGGCGCTGTTGCAGAGACGCAGATCAGCTACGAAGCTGGGATCGGCCTCAGCAGCGACAACGTTGCTGGAGGCAGGTCGAGCAAGTTGGTCATCAGCTACAGCGACGGGACCAGCACGTGCGACACCAAAGCAGAGCCCGACGTCCTCACCTACAGCGCGGCAAACAGCGCATGTGAGAAAGGCGGGCAGTGGCAGCATGCCCTGGCAGGGCTCCGGAACACGGAAGCAAAGCTGGAGGCTAACGCGCTCAGCTACACGGTTGCCATCAGCGTGCGCGAGAAGAGCAAACAGCGCGCCCTCAACCACAGCGCCGCAAGCAGCGCGTGCGAGAATGGCGGGCAGTGGAAGCAGGTTTCGGCAAGTTTCCGAGAGAAGGAGGCAGAGCTGGAGCCCGACGTCCTCAGCCACAGCGTTGAAATCGGCGCGTGCTGGACAAGCGAGCAGTACACAACTCGAGGCAGCGGACCAGTGCACCCCGAGGCGGCAGCAGGCGGCAGTACAGGAGCAGATCCACCCAGCTACAGTTCTGGGATCAGCTCGTGCGCAAAGACAGGCAGTGGCAGCAGGCGCTGGCAATGCGAGAAGGGCACGCAGGGGCAGCACGCTGCTGACACGCGAGAGGCAGAAGTGCAGCGGCGGACATCCTCAGCTACGATTCTCAGATCAGCTCATGTGCGAAGAGCAGGAGCCAGCCAAGACCAGCTACAACGCTGGGAGCGGTTTGTGCGAGAAGGGTGGCAGCATGCGACAGTGTTGGAGCAAACTTCCTCAGTTACAATTCTGGGATCAGCTCGTGCACGAAGGCAGGCAATGGGAGCAGGCGCTGGCACTGCGAGAAGGGCACGCAGTGGCAGCAACTGTCACTGGGAGAAGGCGGAAATGCAGGCGCGGACGTCCTCAAGTACAGTTCTGAGATCAGCTCGTGCACGAAGGCAGGCAGTGGGGCACGCAGGGGCAGTGGACGCTGGCGCTGCGAGAAACCGTGAGGAGTGGGAGGCGAAGGCAGAGCCCGACGTGATCAGCTACAATGCTGGACGCGAGGGAAAGGCAAGCAACACGTGCGGCATCCTCCTCCTCCTCCTCCTCCTCCTCCTCCTCCT